CGGTGCAGGCCTGGGCTCCCGGGCCGCCAGGGCCAGGCGGGGCTTAAGGCTCCGGGCCTGTGGGAGGAGCCAGGGTTGGCGCAGCCGCAGCGCCCCGCAAACGTCTGTAGCTGGAATCGCGACCTGTGGCGGAGGCAGGACCACGCCCATCACGGGTGGCAGCCTTGGTGTGGTCACTCTTATTTTATTTTGCCTTTGTTTCCCCCCTTTCGCCCCCTACCCCTGCTTTAATGCGACGCCACCCCCGTGCCATGTGACCTTCCAGCCCTCTACGATCGTTTACCCTTTTGCTTCTAAAAGGAGCGCACTCAGTTTCAGCAGAAGTTGCACTGAAAGGAAGCCGGACGAAGCAATGGAAGATTTCGTGGGAGAGACTTGGGGCAGGTCTCTGGACGATCGTGGAACTTTCTTGAACGCCCGGCTTTAAACCTCCGCAGGTAGAGACAAGACGACTGGAGAGGCTTCTAGCAGCGTGGCCCAGGGTTACAGGCACAGAGGCCAAGTAAGACATATCCTGGGCAAGCGCAAGGTGGCTGCCAGAATGGAGGACAGCCTGAGAACGTTCTTAGACAGCTCTCTAAACAGGATTTAAAAGTCAGGCTGCGGCAGGGGCATAGCTTCAAGCTCAAGACCATCGTGGACTATGTATGACAGCCAGACCCTGTCTCAGAAGCATCAATGATTAACTCATCCATTGAAGGGGGCGCCACAGGTCAAGATGCCGGCTGCCAACACTGAGAACTTGAGTTCAGTTCCTGGGGCCCACGTGGTGGGGGGTGGGGGTGGAGCACACACGGGGGATATGTGCAAAAAATAAAATTAGTGCCTGAAGAAGTGGCTCAGTGGTTAAGAGCACCCGCTAACACGGCTCACAACTGTCTGCCATTCCAGTTCCAGGGGATCCAACACCCTCTTCTGGCCGCTGCCGATATCTGGAACACTGGTGATGCTCAGGCATACATGCAGGCAAAACACTCATACACTTAAAATAAAAATAAAATTTAAAAAACCTAAGGCTTAGAATTTTGAAGTATTCTTCTGTCGCTTGGACTGTCATCAGAGACAATGATTCTTAAATCTCTTGGCAGGAGGAGTGTGTGTTGCGGCATCATAATGACCCTTAGGTCACCTCCACAAACTCTAGTTCAGTGGCTTTCAACCCTCCTAATGCTGTGATCCTTTAATTCAGTTCCTCCTGTTGTGGTGACCCCCCAACCATAAAATTATTTTGTTGCTACTTCATAACTGTAAGTTGCTACTGTCATTAATCATAATGTAAATATCTGATATGCAGGATATCTGATATGTGACCTCTGTGAACAGGTCGTTTGATCCCTGAAGGGGTCACAACCCACAGGTTGAGAACCACTGCTGACAGTGGCTGAAACTAGTGATTTCATGTGAGGGCGGCAAGGTCATTCCGGCTGCTGCTTTGCCAGTTTGCTCTTTTCATGTGCTAATTTTGTGAGTTTTCCCTGGCCATACTCTGCCCTACTCCTGTGGCCCAGTCCTGAGGAGGGTCATAGCCCTCCGGCCCACAAGCTTCTGTCTGGGCTCCATGGCCCCCACTAGAGATAGGCCTCTTGGCAGGAGTGTCTATTTCAAACAAACAAAAAAATTAAGATGGGTCGCACTCAATAGGTAGATCAGGCTGGTCTTAAGTTCACAGGGACCTACCTGCCTGCCTCTGCTTCCCACGTGCCAGAATTAAAGGTATAATAAGCCATGATGCCTGGCAAAATAAAATTAAATATATTAATTTTTATTTTATATGTATGAGTGTTTGCCCATACGTGTATGTCTACACCACGTGCGTGCCTGGTTCCTAAAGAAGCCAAAAGAGAACACCATTCTCCTAGAACTGGAGTTACAGGTGCCTGTTCTCCACTCTGTGGATGCTAGAAACTGAATCTAGGTCCTCTGTAAGAACAGCCAGTGCTCTTAATCACTGAGCTGTCTGAGACAGCCTTGAGTCTCTTTAACTTTTCTGTTCCTTTCAATATATGCATTGATCATTCACCAGGCTTTTCCTAAGATTTAAAGTTTAGATGAGGCACCTGTCCATCTGGGTGACTGACAGCTCACCTTCAAGTCCATGGGACAGTGACAGACAGAAAGCCCAGTCAAGACGTGTGTGTGTGTGTGTGTGTGTGTGTGTGTGTGTGTGTGTGCTCGCGCGCGCGTGTGTGTGTCCACACGTGAGTGCATTAAAGCTTGAGTGTGGAGGTTCAAGGACAACCTCAGCTATGGATCCTTACCTTCTACCTTGAAACTTCACTCTTGTTCATCACCATGTAGACCAGGGTAGCCGGCCCTAGAGTTTCCAGTGACTCTCCTGTCTTCATCTCCCATCTCACTGTAGCAGTTAGGTATTGCAGACTCATGTCCAGACACTTGGCTTTAGGTGGATTCCAGGGATCTGAACTAAGGTCCACAGACTTACACAGCAAACGCTTTTCCACTGAGCCCTCTCTCCAAGCTAAGACAGAGCTTTTGAACTGTGATGTAAGCTCCAGTAGGAGTGGAGATGGAGTCGAGGAAGAATTCTGAACAAGAACAGCAGAAGGAGTGGCCTGAAGAAGCTGAAGGAGGAAGACTGGAACACAGCCGGGCAACTGCCCTTTGCTCAGCTTTGTTAGAACCTTCCAGCTCATTCGATGAGGGAGAAAGTGGGGGCAGATGGGAATATGTTGGGAGCCAAATCTCAGGGCTGGGTGTGAGATCCTAGGCCATGCTTGGCAGGCCACATAGTTAACCTTTACATAGCAGCTCCTTAGAACCTCAGCTCAAGAAAAGAAACAACCCAGTCCTCCACCCTCAGGCTCAGCCACCTAGGCAACCCTTCCTGGACCTCTTTCTTACTCATGAACTCTTTACCCTGCCAAACATCCTCTCTGTGGTTTCCTAATGTCCTGCCTATACCAACACAAACAACCCATTCTGCCCCTCCCCATATCCTGAGATAAGCTAGCCTGAGAAAAGTAAAGTTTGCCACTTGATCAGAATCCTGTCTTGTGGTCCTTCTTTCTGTGTCTCTTGTCCCCATTCCCTATCTCTGACTCTCTTGCCCCAGGTTGACGTCCTGCAGGTCGGGACAGGAATACTTGTCTTGACTTAATATGTTGACACCTGGGAAGTTGGGTGTTGGGAAGGTTGCCTGTCTGCTCTAGGAAGGAAGGATTGAATAAAACCCAAATCAGCCCCAGCTGAAGCCATCACATCAGGGGAGGCCCGGAGGATAGACATGGACTGGGTAACACAGTCAGGAGATGGAAGAAGCGAGATGTGGTGGCTCCCAGCTCCACATCACAGCAGTCTGGGAAGGGTGTGGGCGAGCCACCCTCCAGAGACTGAAAACCTAAGAGAGAAGACTGGTTGGAGGGAGAAGACAGTGATCCTTGTTAAGAATGAGGCGCTTGGGGGCTAGAGAGATGGCTCAGAGGTCAAGAGCACTGGCTGCTCTTCCAGAGGTCCTGAGTTCAATTCCCAGCAACCACATGGTGGCTCACAACCATCTGAAATGAGATCTGGTGCCCTCTTCTAGCCTGGAGGCAGAAGACTGTATACATAATAAATCTTTAAAAAAAAAAAAAGAAGAAGAAGAAGGAGGAGGAGGAGGCACTTGTGAGTTAGCCTAAAAGAAGCAATTACCTGGACAGATAGGTTGAACTTTCTGGGCTTCAGTTGCCCTGGCTGTAAAGTGGTGAGGCACATTGCTAAGACCTCAGCTATATATGAGGGGCTTCCTCAGATCTAGGCTGTTGCTTGACTCCTTGATCAGACTAATGAGAGCCTTCACCGTGGAGACTGCCAGTTCTCTGCTCTGTGAGCTCACCATCACCCATCATCTCTCCTGCCTAGATCCTCTCCTCGGAGTTCTGGGGACAGTGACTTTGAAACAGAGAATCACCCCTGTCAATCGTGTTTGCAGACCTCACGCCTTAGTTTGTGGTGGCAGCTGATGGGAGGCTGAAGAGCCACTAGTCATCTGTCTGCTTTTCTCTTCACTGTTTTTTGGTTGAAATGATGAGGAGAGAACGAGAGACCCTGAGAGAGTGTTTACTCACTGAGCACTTGGCTTCAGCAAGCTCCTGCATTCCGGCCCTGCTGCAGGCCAGGTATTGGTGTGAGTCCGCAGCAATGACTGTATAGTCTGCCTAGTTTTGAATTTGAAACTTTAGGAAATACAACGATGATTTTCTAATGATTTTGTTTTGTTTTTCAAGACAGGGTTTCTCTGTGTTAACAGTTTGGCTGTCCTGGAACTTGGTTTGTAGACCAGCCTGGCCTCAAACTCACTGAGATTCTCTAGCCTCTGCCTCCCAAGTGCTGGAATTAAAAGCGTGCGCCACCACTACCACCCGGTCTAATGACTTATTTTTATTTTATGTGCACTGGTGTTTTGCCTGCCAGTATCTCTATATGAGGGTGTCAAATGACCTGGAACTGGAGTTACAGGCAGTTGTGAGCTGCTATGTATGTACAGGGAATTGACCCAGCGTCCTTTGGAAGAGCAGCCAGTGCTCTTACTGGCTGAGCCATCTCTCCAGTCCCTTACTATTTTGGAATATTTCTCTACACTGAAGATGTCCCACTGTGATTGGTTTAATAAAGAGCCGAATGGCCCGAAAGCTAGGCAGAAAGAGGTTAGGAGGATCTTCTGGGGACAGAGAGGGCTCTGGAAAGAAGAAAGTCAGAGTTGCCAGCCACATGTGGAGAAAGCAGGGTGGGCAGTAGGGAGAAAGGTAAGGCCACACAACAGAATGTAGATTGATATAAATGGGTTAATTTAAGTTATAAGAGCTGGTTGAGAACAATTCTAAGCTAAGACTGAGCTTTCATAATTAATAAGATAATTAATGTTGTTATTTGTGAGCTGGAGGCCCCAAAGAAACTCCAACTGTACCCTACCCTACAATGCTAATTTTTAAGAAGGCAGCCGTGTTCACCCTATACTACCATCACAGTATAGCAAAAAAGTTAAGAACAAAATTGTTGGTGCCTTGTCATTCATAGTGGATTTTGTTTTGCCTTACAATCAACTCTTGCATTTAATGGTGTCATAAAGAATCTGACCTAAGGCCAGGCAGTGGTG